AAATTAGTATACAAGTGATGCGTAATTAAAAAAAAAAAGGAAAAAGAAAGTGATGCGTAATTAAGGTCGACCAAACGGTGTACGTACTTAAAGAAAAGAAAAAAAAAATTATGTTTAATTTTCCTAGTTATATTAACTTTTAAAGCTTTCTAAGAATCTAAAAAATTGTATTTATACATTCGAAAATTTAGTAAAATATTTGTCTCGGTTAAAGTTTACAAACACCTACATTGCATACGTAATATCAATCTTTTTTTAGACTGGTGGTTGTGAGGTAGATCATCTCGTCAAACATGGCTCTAATTAATTATCCTCCAATTTTGACTAAAATCATATTTTTAAGGCAAGTTTGTATTTTATTTCGCGTTTTGAAAGTCAATGACATTGACATAGCTAGGGTTATTTTACTTCTGATATTCTACAAGTTAAAGACATTAAATTTAATTTTATGATGATAGTTTATAGAATGCATCCAATCGATAATAATATAATATGCATTTTGACACACAAAAAGCAAATATATGTAAACTGATATATCATATATGTACTGTTACTCGCTTGAAGACGCAAGAGCCAAGTGATCGATCCTTTAACAAATAAAACAAAAAATGAAACTCTTGAGTCCTCCAAGGAAACTACAACAAGAGCAAAACGTAAGTATTTATTTGTTTTATTCGTCATATACATAAACGTATACAATTCTTTGTTTATTGGTTTTGTTAAACCTAATTTGTGTTCTGAATCTTTTGATACATTGAAGATAATTCTCAATTGAAGTTAAAAGTCATACTCGGTAACCTCTTGGCTCCAACCATTATGTGATAATTCCCTACACAACTATCTTGCTCGTATGCATAAAAACCTATATAAGTTTTGAGGCTTGTTTTTCTTGCAGGAGTCTCAACAGCTTTTGTTGTGATGATCATTATTGTTGTGATTGCGGTAGCGATGAGAGCAAAGAATGCGAAAAGAAAGAGTGATTGGAACGGAAAGAACATTGAAGCAGTTTTAATGTTTAAACAATATAGTTATGCCAAAGTCAAGAAAATGACAAACTCATTCGCGCATGTTCTTGGGAAAGGAGGATTTGGAACTGTTTATAAAGGAAATTGTTACCCGATGGAAGTGGTCGAGATGTTGCAGTGAAGATCTTGAAGGAGTTAAAAGGAAATGGAGAAGAATTCATCAATGAAGTAGCTAGCATGAGTAGAACATCTCATGTTAATATCGTTTCTCTTCTTGGATTTTGCCATGAAGGAAGCAAAAGAGCTATAATCTATGAGTTTATGTTGAATGGATCACTTGACAAATTTATTTCCGAGAATATGTCAACAAAGATGGAATGGAATGCTTTATACAACATTGCGGAAGGTGTTGCTCGCGGACTAGAGTACTTGCACAACCGTTGTGTATCGAGAATTGTGCATTTTGATTTAAAGCCACAAAACATACTTATGGACGAAGATTTCAGATTTCGGTCGTGCTAAGCTTTGTTAAAAGAAAGACAGTGTCATGTCTATGCTAGACGCAAGAGTGACCATAGGGTACATTGCTCCTGAAGTGTTTTACAAAAGATTTGGAGGAGTTTCTCATAAGTCGGACGTGTATAGTTATGGAATGGTGGTTCTTGAGATTATCGGAGCAAAGAAGAGAGAAAGACCTGAAACATCTAGCTCGAACAACAGCTCAATGTATTTCCCGGATTGGATATATAAAGATCTTGAGAACGAAGAAACCATGAGACTTTTCGGAGATGAGTTGACCGAAGAAGAAGAAAAGATAGTGAGGAAAATGGTATTGGTGGGTTTGTGGTGTATTCAAACAAATCCATCTGGTCGGCCATCAATGAGCAAAGTCGTTGAAATGTTAGAAGGAAGTCTAGAGGCTTTGCATGTTCCACCTAAGCCTCTCTTTGGTTTACCAGTGGTAACTATTTCAGAATCGTTTGAAGAGAGTACTCAAGAGTCCTCAAGCTTCTCGACCCTAAACCAATTAGAGAGAGGTACACTAAGCCAAGATGCCCTAAGCTTTTCCAAAGAAGCGGTTCGAGATATTGTACAAGACAGTCAAGATCGTTTGAAATCTATCTAAACCAAAGCCAGCAAGAGAGTTCTTATGATTCTATTGCATGTTTCTTAGCTGTAAACTTCCACTGATTAGAGCATGATCAACCATTGTTGCTAAACTTAGGATGCTAAAATTATTTTATTATTTTTAACCTTAGCAACCCAATTTTTGAGGTGCTTAAAGTGCTAAAATTAGCAACTAAAGGTTTGAGTTGCTAAGATTATTTGATTATTTAATTATTTTTAATTTTAAACAATCCACTAAAAAATCCACTAACAACTAACATTGATTTTGATGGAGGAAGGAGATAATGTTAGGGATGGAGACTTTTAGGTATAAGAAAATATACATTTTGCATAATGGTCTGCCTCTATTCGTTACCTATAATGTACATGATAATATATTAATTTTTTGTTGGTTGCTTTGTTATTCTGGAGATTCCACGTTCCAGCCCTTTTCAAACGGCTTTACACCAATATAAAAATTGTCACAAACAACTTTTTATTTTTATTTTTATTTTTGGGTCAAACATTCATTCGAATTGGAAAGCAACTACAAAATGAAATGACAGAATCGCTGGACGAATTTTTTTATTTTTTTTTTATTAGAATTGAAAGCTAAAATTGTTACTATTTTTACACTAAACTCAAACATAATAACAAAAAATTACTAAATCTAAATTCTATTCAATTCCCCCTAATCGATCATCTTAAAAAAAAAAAAACCGGTTTATCCGAAAACCGGTTGAATATTAAATGATGCACCAACTACTTACTTAACCCCACTCGTGCTTACCATAACTTCATGCTTTCTTTTTAACCACACATAATCTTACACGTGTATATATATATACACATAAATGAACATGTGTGTATCTCCTTGTTCCTCTGCCTTGTTTTGCGGTCAATCGT